GTAGTTCTCGTGTTTGGTATGTTTGGCTGTAAGCTAGTTTTGTCATATACAACCAGTCAAATCATAATTTTTGAATTTGTTTGCTAAAATAATAGTTATTAATTTTAAATACAATTCTTAATACAGAATTTGTCTTAATAGTTAATATGCTTACCACGGATTATTTAAATGTAAAAATACAATAAAAACAACGAAAATAAAAACGAGTTGAAAGTATTAATGTCAAGAAAGGGTTCCTACCTTACTTATTTCAGCGAAAATTATTTTATCGGAATTAATCATAATTATAATATAAATTTATTTGCGTTTTTTTTTCCAGAGTAGGTAGTTTGTTTATTACAAATATTGCTATCCGCAACATTTTGAAAGTTGTCTGAGATGTGTTTCAAAATAAGTAGTTTTTAATATCATAACCAAGCAAAAAACGAACAGATTTGTGATTTAATTTTTAAAAAGACTAAAACATTTTTTTTTCGGTAACGAGTTTTTTATTTCAATAGTAACGTGGAACGGTGCTAACGTTTCCCGTTAAACAACAACTTTAATTTGAATAAGGAATGGAAATATCCCAACTGGTTGTAAAAAACTACTATTATAATTAGAAAATATTGATGATAGCTAATTGTTTGCTTTAAAGCTCATTAATAAGCCATATTATAATTGGGATGACGTCAAATTTTGTGACGACACAAAAACTGTGCTGCTTTATAATGATGACTCCTAGTCATCAGTAGAATCTCCATCGCATACAGGCGTATATTGAAGTGCTTATACTAAGATTGTTTAACTAACAAATAAACAAAGTTCAAAAACGACTATATTAGTAAGTTAAATCGCAATATACGAGGGTGCTTTGATAAGTCAGTGACTTTTTGAATTTCCCGCGCAATTACTCCAAATGCAACAGTGCTGCCGTCAGCTGTAATCTAGCTGTGGGCAACTTTTTAATTTTGAGCAAGCTATGCCGTTCAGTTGGTGCTTGATAGTCGTTCAAAGCAGACAATCTCGTGAATTTTTATGAAAATGGAAAAAATTAAATTTCGCCATTTCTTTAGGTTTGGAAACAGAAAATAGTCGCAGGGTGCTAAATCTGGAGAATATGCTGGATGGGGTAGCAGTTCGTATCTCAATTCGTGGATTTTGGCCGCAATGCTTAATCAACACACGAAATTCAAGTTAAGCATGGTCTAGAACTGGGAACATACTTAAATCTCAATGCAATTGATGTACTATTGGTATCAGAGGCACATTTAACAAACAAAAGATTCATCAAAAACGTAACTATTCGACATATCGTACAAATCATCTTGACATCAAAGCCCATGGCGGAACTGCAGTAATTATTAAATAAAATATTCAATGCGCAATAGCCAATATACACCAATCAGATCAAATACAAGCTACAAAAGTCCACATTCAAAATACAAAATGCCAGTTAACAGTATCAGCTATATACTGTTCTACGAAGTACAATAATTTAAAAAATGTATATATGAACTACTTTAATACTCCAGACGTGATTGACGTCTTTTTTCGTGACGAAAAATATAAATAAACGATTCCTTACAGTAAGTACATTTTCTGACTTATCTGATCAGTCACCTATTATGCTATCATATGAATGCAAGCTAAAACAAAACATCACTAGGACAAAACAAGTATATATTGCAAAACATGCTGGGACATATTTAGAAAGATTTTTAATACTGATATGACTATAAATAATTCCTTAAAATCTGAAGTCAAAATCCTGACAAATTCTACCCCAGCTCTCAAACAAAAGGATACTAAAAAACGCAAGATAATCGACAGCAGAAATCTGAGCGGTTCCCCGAACTGAACAAGTCCTTAAACAAACTAACCAATGAACTTAAAGACGTGCTACATAATTAGAAAAATAAAAATCTACAAAAATACATAATAAACCTGATAGTTGACAAAGCCACTAAATACACATCACGTTCAGCAACCAAAAACAGCAAGATAGCAACGTAGCACAGAGCAGCTCAACTAAAAACGTCACAATAAAGAAAGCCTATATACTCGTAACAGAGATTAAAAACACCATTAAAAATAAAATTAAATGAAAAAAAAATCGGGATATGACGGTATTACTGGAAAGATTCTGATTGCTTAAAACTTGTATATCTGAGAAACGTGTTTACTTTAAGTATTTTTCAAAAGTGTGAAAAGTTTTAGAAGCAGAAGCTATACCCAAACCAAATAAGGACATCACTCTTACAAACTCATGTAGACCTACACAACAAGTTCACAGAGTCGTAAATGAAACTACAAACGATATTAAATCAAAACAATTTTTGTCGGTGGTATATCTAGACAGTGCAAATGCCTTCAATAGCGTTTGGCATGGGAATCTATTAACCATCCCAGCTACATTTAAAAAAAGTTTACCTCATATTAAAGAGATATCTACAAAATTGATACTTTTATGTGAATTAAAAAAACTCAACCTTTGAACTTAAACAAATGAAAGCTAGTGTGCTCTCACGAAACGTGCTAGGTACATTACACTAGTTGTTATATACGGCTGATATTCCGATCCCTTCTGATCCTTAAACTGTGATAGCATAGAGAAGACAAAACATTCATTGACGTAAATAAAAATTTTAACAAATCAGAAACAACTTGCAGAAAAGCTAATTTGCAACGCTTGAATGGTTTGACAAAAAGGGAGTTCAGATAAATATGAGCAAAGCTGTACACATCATTTACACGAACAAAAAATACTACCTAAAACGTATAAAAATTAACAATGTTCAACTATTCACACACACAAAGGCAAATTACCTTGGTATTGCTATAGATACCAGATTAACTTGGTATGACCATATCAAATTCAAATGATTAGAAGTCAAACATTACTTTGAACAATTATACTGGCTACTTTGCTCAAAATCAAAAGTAACAGAGAAAAGATCGTAGCAATAATCACACTAATATGGAAATATGGAGTCATATTTTGGGCTCAGCAATTTAACTCAACATACAAATATTACAGACGCTACAATCAAAAATGCTTAGAACTGTTATCAACGCTGACTGGTGCATCTTAAAGTATGAAATACATCGTGACTTCAAGGTACCTTTCGTCGCTGCCATAATCCAAAAAAAAAGCGTAAAAATCATATAGGTAGATTATTCTCCCACCCTATCCCAGCATTGAAGCAGCTACCAAATGACGAAGCCACTTACAAAAGACGCTTAAAGTGCTTATTTTCATCAGAACTATCACTATAACAATATATAGCTACCTATTTAACATACACATGATGTAATTTTAATCTTTTTATTGACTTACCTACTTCTAATATTTAATTATTTTAACGTTGATTTTTTTTCGAATGTGACGCGTCTTATGATGAAAAGAAAACTAAAAGGATTTGAACAGTAATGAAGAAACAACAATAAAAATTTGACTAATTTACTGAAATTTGGCTGATTATTCAACGCTGTTTTGAGTATTGCCAAGTGCTCTTCATCAGTGATCATAGGAAATATTCGAATTTTTGTTTTTAATTTATTTATAATCATTATATAATGTGTTGGACTACTATAAGTGCCAGGTTTAGAACTCGTGCCTGTCAAATTACAAACGATGACTAATCATGTTCTTCCGCAAGTCGTCAAGTTTTTTGTCATTTTATTTCTAAATGACACTAACTAAAGCACTTGTCTGGCTTTTTAAACTAGAACGAGCTTATAAACTACAGCTTTACTTGAAAACACAGGTTGTGTTTGGATGTATTGAAGACAATAATCTTAAATTTCAATTTTATCAAGACAATAATGCAAGCATAAGACGTATATGGTGAAGGTGAAGTTGTTAACTTGTTATTTAATTGCAACAAAGTCGGAGAAATGGCTGTCAGGAGCACAAATCTAACCTTGCTCATTTTTTTTTTGTTTAGATTTTTTCGGCAATATTTAAAGAAAAAAAATGGCTAAATTGGAACCAAAAAAAATCTGTCGGATCTATATACATCAATATTAGAGAAGTGCATTTGAACATCTTACATGAAAAATGAGACAAAGCTGATAAATTAAACGAAAAAAAAAAATAAAAAAGCCATAACAAAGTATAATTATGATCAAGTAAATAATTTGAGAAAATTGTGCAAACAAATTTGGAAACAAGATAAAACTAACTATTCAAAAAACCTGATCTTTTTACCACGCCAAGTTTAAGTAATAAAAATATGTTACTTACTACTGTCTACTGTCAGAACAATTTGATGTCCATCATCCTCTACCTAAATGAAGTAATGCGAGCTTCAATGAACAGAAGAAGTGGTCGGCGCTAATGGCGATGGATTGGTCACACACCAGCACCAGTACAAACTTTGCACAGATCTATAAACACCCAAACACCCAATAGAGATAGCTTTAGATCTTTGGTAGAAGCCCCATGCTCCACGAGAAGAAAAGCCAACAGTAAATGAGTAAGGTATTAAATTAATGAATTAAAGGGATAGTTTCAAGATAGTTTTGTGGAGATATTTTCTGGCAAACTGTATATTGGCAAATATTCAACTATTCCATTTCTTAGTCCAAGGAATTATCTCCAGTATTAATGCTAAATTGTAAGAAAAGACTACAGTATACAATTGAAAGCTTTAACTAAGATCTTACTTTTATATGTAAATAATCGCTTAAATACACTTTAAAAGCTTTCAATTCATGAAAACTTTTTATTTCATAATTTTATAAATTTCATTTTTTATATTGTTAGTTGTTTTTCATATGCACGAGTTTTTATTTTTAAAATATTGTAATATTATGTCGTTTTAAATTAATACATATACTTAGAATTACTTAAGAATTAAATATACACTTGAATTCAATTTCAAAGAACTACAGCACATAAACTGCATTATATAGTATCCATACTAGTCAGTTTTAATTTACGCTTTTACATGTAAAATCATAATTGTTTCATTTGTGTTTTGTGCATAATAATTAAAGATTTGATTATCTCACAGGGAAAATTTTTTCAATGTACGGATGGATCAAAAATGGGCAAAGACGATTGCCAGTAAGTATATCACTTTGAATATCCTTAATAAAATCTTAAGATATATTTGTAGGCGTGAAACATTTCGTTTCGATATTACGAGCAAAAAACTTGCTTATATTTTATTATACTAAGTATGGTGAAATGTATAAAATATTGATAATATGACTGAAATTAATTTGAATCAATTAATTTGACAAAACTTTATTAAAGTTGTAAAGTAATTATTTTATTTGATACATTAACATATTGCAAATCGATTAATACAAATAAAACAAAATTAGTTTGACAAATTACTCCTTTCAAAGTGTAATATGTATTTTTCTGCTTAAATCAAAACCTCCGTTTATTCACATGCTTACCGAAAAAGTTTAAATACAGAATTCAGTTGGCAAAACTTATCAGATGCTAAAATAACTGTAATAATCTTCCAAGTAATATTTCTAGTCTTGTTTATAAACAGTAAAAGTTCAACAAAACTCATAAAATAATGAAAAATCTTGATTAAAATTATTAATCAGAGCATCAAAAAAGCACGCGTAAGCAAAACCTTTAGCGTTTGTCATAACGAATTGTTATATAAACTAGCCCCATACTACCAAAGAAATACTGCTATTAATTTAAATGTCATACAAAAGAAAATACTTTTATGTAAACTGTTAAGAAGACATATTTTGGAAAAAAAATTTGAGTACGAATACTTCTTTATTTTAAATGAATTACATCTTCATTTATTTAATATTGACGCAAACCTAATCTAACCTATGTTTCAATAATTCTAACATAAGTATTTGTTTTAATTATTATTTATTATCGGGGACTGCTTTCTACAGGAGATAACGGAAAGCTTGACTTGGGAAAATGTCGAATTTCAATTATAGAAATACTACGCCTTCATATAATGAAACGCAAATTTAATTCTATATTTTCATGTTAAGTGAAATTTAATGTTGACAGCTTTTATTATGAGGTTTTTTTTTTTTTCTTGTTCTTGGTATCGGACCTGGGGGAAAAATCTTCAAAAGATACAAATGGCCCGTACCATTTGCATGCCCGATTCATGCACGACTCAAATTGTGTCATACATGCCTATGGACTAAAAAGTCCCCTACATTCTCAACTCAAAATCCTGAAAATCCCTGCAGTACGACCAGTTAAGATATTCCTTCATAGGGCAGGTTAGAAGAGCACTTAGCGTGCATTCACTCCGATAGTGTACTAAGTATTTCGTCCACTCTAACAGTATTTATTGTTCTAGAGATTATGCTCTTGTAAAAGCTCCATTCTTCGATGCTTGCCAACATCTGCATTACCATAGTAGAAGGGCTGGATTCCCCAATTAGTGTCTCTAGATTTTGTCTAGTATCTACGAATCTTATACAGTCTCTAATTATGTGGTAAGGACTCTCAATTTTATCTGGACAGGACTGGCAGTACGGGTTACTTGCTAACCTAAACCGGTATAAGTATTCACGGAAGCAGCCATGCCCCGTAAGAAACTGTGTTAATTGAAATCCCAAGTCTCCAGATCCTCGGTTAATCCAAACTCTTATATTTGGAATTAACGAATGCGTCCATCTTGATTTTTGGAAATGGTCCCACCTATGTTGCCATTCATTAAGGTATTTGTCTCTTATATCTAGATAAGACTCTGCCAGAGATTGCCCAGTTTCAGTCGTTCGCCGACGAGAGCGTTGTAAGAAACTGTCTCTGGCCAAGAACGCTTCAAGGTCTATTGGCATGCATCCAGCCAATACTCCCGCAGCATCGTCCGACACTGTACGGTAAGCACGGCAGATGCGTAGGTTTGACAATCTATGTGCACTTTTCATTACACGTGAATACGACTTAATGGTTGTAGCATGTGCCCACACCGGAGCAGCATAAAGCATCACCGACTTGGAAACTGATGCTAAAAGAACTCTAGCGGTGTCCTTGGGACCTCCTATGTTTAGCATTAATCGAGATAATGCGTTGCAGACACGTGATGCTTTATCTCCCGATTGTTTTAGGTGAGTTTTGAAACTCAACCTACTATCTAAGGTTACACCGAGATATGTAAGTTGGGGGCTAGATTGTATATCTACTCCACCCACTTTAATTGAGAGTTGTTCAATCTTTTTTCTACTGCTGATTAATAGCACCTCAGTTTTATGTTCAGCAAGCTCTAATCCGCTGTATTGCAGCCACGATTTAGCTGCTGCAATAGTAGCGCTGCAATTCCTAGCCACTTCGTCTAGAGTTTTTGCAACCACTACTATTGCAATATCATCTGCATACCCAACTACGTGCACAACGTCCGGCTTTTCAATTCGAAGGATACCATCGTACATGATATTCCAAAGAATTGGCCCTAGAACTGATCCCTGGGGGACCCCTCCCGTAATTCTATATGTTTTGGGTCCGGATTCTGTATCATATAAGAGTAATCTGTCTTTAAAATATGATGTAATAATTTTCAAAAGATATTCTGGGACTCTCATTTTCATCAGTGCATTTAAGATGCTACTCCACTCAGCAGTGTTGAAAGCATTTTTAACGTCTAAGGTCACTACCGCGCAGTACTTTTTAGTACCACCTAGCCACCTTACGCCCTTAGTAGCTTCCTTTGCAATGTTGCATACATGTAGTACAGCATCAACAGTACAGCGTTTAGGTCTAAAGCCAAATTGGTTATTTGATAGACCTTGACTTGCCTCTGTGAATTTTTGTAATCTAGAACTTATAATTCTTTCAAGGACCTTACCTGCAGTGTCTAGTAAGCATAAAGGTCTATAAGATGATGGCAGTTCTGGGGACTTATTACCTTTAGGAATAAGCACCAATCTTTGCTTTTTCCAACACGAAGGGAAGATTCCTTCCTGTAGGCAGCTGTTGTAAACATCCGTAAATATAGAAGCTTGTTTTTCTATTGCATTCTTCAGTACAGTATTGGGGATTCCATCCAAACCAGGAGATTTATTGGGCTTAACTCTGGAAGAAGCGGCTATGACTTCAGAATTTGTAACCGGGGGTATCTCATTTAATATTATGAGGTATTAAAATATGCTAATTGCGCCCGGAGTAGAAGTCATAAAACTGAATTGTCGGCGATATTAAATAAAAAACATAAAGTTGTCAAACTATGTATTAATTTTTCATGTATTTTCATCATATTCGGCTTAAGTGACGAAAAAATTAAATTCAATAACTTTCAAAAATCAAAAATTTTGTATGCATTAGTTTGAAGTATTTATTATTAATGTGAAGTTAAAGACACTGATTGAAATATTTAAAAACGAAGAATGTAAGAAAAACAATTAATGCCGAAAACAAGTTTAATACATTTAAAATTATTCTTGAGAAAATATTATGGTAAATAAGTATGCCATAACATCATAATGGTTTTCGTGGCAAAACATATCTTATTTAGTTTTATTATTATATTATTATTGTTGTTATGTATTATTATAAGTTATATTTTTAATAAAATTGTGTCAAAGAATCTAGAAAACAATGAAGCATAGACTCATATAAATAATATACCCATTCAAGACAACGTGTCATTTAATGCAATAACTAATTTTTTGAGAAATAAATAAAGTTGTACTGTTTTTTTTACACCACACTTCAGAACAATTCCAAAGAAGTAATTTTGTTTTATACAAATTTGTTAAATTAAACTTGAAAACTAATAGTAATAGTAGAGCACATGTATGCATTAAAATTCATTTAATCATTTTTATAATTAAACAGTTTAACTAGAATCATTTTATCAGTTTTGACAAAAAATCAAGTATTTCAACCTTGATTTAACATATGTCACTGAAATGCAGTTTGATGACTTGAATATTTTAAAATGAACAAACAAACTAGCATGCGTATTATTTTATACAGAGGATTCATGTATGATTGAATATTTCGTCAGGTTTTTGGCAGCATAATTCGAGTCACATTCGCGTTTAAATTAAGTATAATATCATACCAGTTGCGACTTGATCGAACAAGAAGAGGAGTGGCTTTGTTATAAATTCATTAGTAAAATAAAATGGGTATTTCAGATGTATGAGCATATCACTTCATTGTGTTTTATATTTTTTGGTTGTATCCAAATATTTAAATTTTAAATAAAAGTTTTGTTGATTCAGTGGAACATATTTGGTGTATGATGATGGAGATGTGCATAAGCCACGATTAAAAGAGCGCGAGTGGAAATTAAATCGATTTCATTTTGATGATGTTGCGAAAGCCATGCTTACATTGTTCACGGTCTCCACTTTTGAGGGCTGGCCTGGGTAAAACACATTTTCGGCAATATATATAATCATATTTGTATACTTATGTACAGGATGTTTTTCAACAAAGAACCGTAAATGCGGAATCTAATTTTTTAAATTCAGAAATCAAAAATATCCTTAAGATGAAAGTATATCCATTTTCATTTAACTGAAATATAAAGATGTCAAAGAGTTGCATGTTCAATAAAACCTTTAAGCGGAAAGTCTCCGATTTCTTAAAATCTGTTCATCAGAATAACTCCAATTGTATACCTGTTTTTACTTCATTGATTAACACTTTATTTAGTGCCAAACATTATTTCATATTTAAAGGGTTAGGATCAAAGAACTGCAAAGAGTCATATATATAATACTCAGAGTACTTGCTTACTTACTGAGTTGGCTATTACAGACTTGAATTGTCTTGGGCCATGTAGAAAAACCTTCGCTAGCTAACCTGATCAGTTGATTGCTGTCGCCAATTGGAGGTATCGAGCACCACCAACTCGTTGGTCGCCTGGTCTTTCCTCTACTACTGCGTTCTTCACCTGCGGGTACCGAATCAAATTCTTTTCTAACCGGAGTACTTTCCCCCATTCACACAACATGACCAGGTCAGCGAAGCTACCGAATTTTTATGCGTTAGCTACGTCAATGTCGATGCATAACTCATACAGCTCATCGTTCCATCTAATTCGATACTCGTCACCAACGCGTAAGGGACCATAGATCTTCCGAAGAGTTTTTCTCCCGAATGCTCCTAACGCCTTATCATTGTTGGTAATTGTCCAAGGTTTTGCACCATACAAAAAGACAGGTATGAAAAGAGTCTTATAGAGAGAGCCCTCAAGAGAGGGCTTTATTTCTCAATTACCTTCTTAGCCTTCTTATTTCTTTATTGGATCTCTAGGCTGACGTCATTTTTGTGTTTACGCTGGTTACCAAATAAACAAACTCTTTTACTACTTCGAACTTATAATTGTTGACAGTGACATGGGCCCCAAGACTCTCAGGAGATTTGTTTGTTGACAGAAAGCACGTATTTTTGTTCTCATTTACCGCAAGACCATTTTGCTTCGCTAGTTTTTCTGAATTGGAAAATATCACACTGACGATACGGGTGCTTATGCTAATAGTGTCAATTCATTGGTATCAATCTTTCACTTAATACGTATGACAGAACCTTATGTGCAATATTTATAGCTGTTTAAATTTTATTACGATCGGGAGGAGGGGCGATTATTTCATCATCAACGATTGGAAATTCGTAATAATTTTGGCTTCCAATCACATCACTACTACCGGCATTTATTTGGTTCGGAAATAATCCCTTTAACCGTTGTACATGCTTTGGATATCTGTAGCCAGATTACTATTTTGATTTCTGCAGGAACTAACTTCGAGTTTATAACCATTTTTCAGGCATTTTATTTTGTATAGAATTTTTGAACCATATTCCTGTGGGTCAACTTCTATTTCATTTTGCAGTAACGACTCGATATTCTCGGTCTTATCAGCTGTTTCTTTGTCTATGGTGATAACCTCTTCTGCAGCGGTACGCACAGAGTTGAAGATATGATTCCATTGCGGACATATATCGGTTTCTTCAGATTTATTTTTCAGATACTGAGATTATTGGCAATTATCCAGCGTTTTCAATTTAAAACATTACGCTTGATCACAAATGCAAGTTGGTATGTAACGAATGAACAGCTGCATAAACAACTACGTGTTCCGACAATCAAGGAAGAAATATCTCGAATTACAAAGAATTACACTCATCGTATATATATGCGACCAAACCCGCTGGTTACACACCTGATGTCCCCTTCCAACACTTTTACAAGGCTAAAAAGAAAAACATCGAGAGACATTTTAAATATTTATATGTAGGTCACACATTTCTATTTTAAATATACATGGATATGTCACTGGACATAGTCCATAAGTTACTTTTTTTTGTAAGTCGTAAGAACTGTTATTACGATTAATGTTAATATATATTACTTATTGTCATTCATACCTGACAGATTGTATTAAAATAAATGGATTATAAAAAATAAAAAAGATTCCTTGGTATCGTCGTCTTTATCTTCCGTCGGGGCATGTGAACAAATTGCGGTGGCACTTGTAGTAGATGTCACAATGCTCTCGTTTAGACTATCCTTTTCCCGTCCATAGCATTTCCTGGAGAAATGCTCCGTAAAACGTGCTCTTGGTAGCGGACAACAAGCGCAATCCTTGTTGTCCTCTATCCAAATTGTCGCACAACCTCCACTTCAATAAATGTAAGGCTGAAGCCTTCAATAAATGTAATCGCCATCCAGGAAATGCGATGAACAGAACAAGGCTGCTGTAAAACAGCAAACTGTGATGTATACTGCAGCTGCCATGTAAATAGGCGTGAATTCGGATGCGGATTTATGGTAAGCAAGAGACTATCACAATCAGTATAGCGATTCTCATCAGTGAATGAAAGGCTAGCTACAATCCATATCATGGGAAAATTTTTAAATATCACATTAATTTGCGCTCACGCACCGAAAGAATAAAAGGACAATTTAACGAAAGATATATTCTACGCGAGACTCAAGGAATTTCATGACCGCAGCCTCGCCCACGATGTTAAAATTGTTCTCGTGTGTTTTAATGCAAAGGTCGGAAGAATAAATGAATAAACCTTCAACAACGGTCCGAAACTAATTAATGTCGCTGCGGCGTGAAATATGATAGTATGTAGTACCAGATTCCCATACCGTGGCTATCTCCCGATTAATCAATATGAAACTAGATTGATCACTTCGTGATTGATGTAAGGCTCACTTTAAGTATGCTGGACGTACGTTCATTCCGTGGTCAAAATATCGACTCATATCACTACCCTACACCGTGTGCAAAAAAAAAACCAGACATCGGTATTCTGTGATAACGAGAGACAGCCAAAGTCTTCATCGCACAACTCTCTAACCGATTAAACAAAAACACCCTCCCAACCCGATAATGTCGGTAGACGATGGTGACCTATCTCTGACTTCCAACACACAACTGCGGAAGATGTCCTTGGTTTCCAACGGCTATCTTTCAGGACGAAACAAATAGAATGACGAGGAGTGTTGCCAATCTACAGCCGCGAAGAACGCCGACTATAAAAACAATCTGCCGTCAGCTACTGCGCGAACCGTGCGTGAACAATATCAGGATGTGAGGAAGATAGAGAGGCTTCTATTCAGACGCAAAAAAACGAGATTAAGAAAGGAGCGAACGAGAGAAAATCGAGGTGTGTAGAAACAGGAATGATGTCAGTAAAAGTCAACCATTTGACTCAAGGCTTTAAGTGTAGTGCATCAATCTGTAAATACGAAAATGGTAATATGGTTACAGATACACATAATACACATTTCTCCCAACTACTGTATGCCGAGGATAACTTCAATTCCGCCTTTGGAGAAATACTCTCGGAGTCGCCAATCGAAAATGATAATGTTGAAATTCCACCACCTAGCCATAACGAAGTGCGTGTTGGTATACAGCGACTTAAGAACAACAAAACGGCAGACGCAGATGGTCCATCTGCGAAATTGTTCAAGAATGGCGGCGGTATACTGATAGAGTGTATGCATCAGCTTTTCTGTAGAATATCTGACAGTATGCCCAGCGATTGGAATCTCAGTACCCTTTGTCCTGTCTTGAAAAAGGGTGACCCGACAATTTGCGCTAACTTTCGCGGGATCCGCCTAATACCTATCGCCTACAAGGTTCTTTCAACTGTCCTGTGTAAAAGGTTGAAGCCACATACCAATTCACTGCTTGGGCCTTTTCAGTGCGGCTTCTAACCTAATTGTTTCACAATTGATCACATATTCACATTGCGACAAATCTTGAAAAAAACCCACGACACTCACCACCTCGTTGTCGATTATAAAACAGCTTTCGAGAACCCCATTAGGGATCGCGTTTACGCTGCAATGTCTAACATCGGTGTCCGTGCAAAGTTAACATGACTGTGCAGAATGACGTTGAGGAATACCCGTAGCTAAGTCAAGATGGGATAAAATCTCTCCAAACCTTTTGGTACCGTGCGAGGCTTCAGACAAGGTCATCCATTATCATGTGATCTTTTCAACGCTGGGATATTACCTTGTATTTTCCAAAAATTCTTAAATCAAAGATCAAAAAATGGAAAAAATGATGGGAAATACATACAGAAATCAAATAAACATACATATATTAAAAAGAAGCAGTTTGTAATTTTTTTGGAATATTTTACGAAAATATGATATTTTATGGGTGATGCAATTTCCATGACCGCTACTGAAGATTGCTAAGAAATTTTGATGAAACATTTTATAAGTCAATATATTTGCTTCCAAAGCCATCCAAGGTTTTCAAACATTTTTAACTATTAAACTAAAATGTAAGAGAAAATGATCAGCATAATACTTTTGTATTTTGTACTCTTTTTTTTCATGGTTTATTTAAAAAATAACATAAAATTTAAGTCAAAATTTATATATATTCAGAAAAAACATTTCTTAAAATTTTACGCTGTTGTGGCTAAATGGTTCTATCCGTGCAAGACTCTTTGACCTCTGCTTTATCTCTTCATTCGGGATGTTGATTTCAGTCTTACTTTCAATTCGCATTCATATTTTGTTTTTTGAACTAAAGCACTAGCTTCCGAATTTATGGTATGTTGTAAGTAAACACTCTGTACACATTACATATTATATTATATATTATATTTTATACATAAAATATTTACTTTAAATTATTTTTCAGTCTCCTTTATGTGTCTATTGATTCAAACAAGGAAAATGGAGGCCCTATACATAATTTTCGTCCAATTGTTGCCGCGTATTATATTATTTACATAATTATAATAGCCTTTTTCATGGTTAATATATTTGTTGGCTTCGTTATAGTTACATTTCAAAATGAAGGCGAACAAGAATACAAAAACTGTGACTTAGATAAAAACCAAAGAAACTGTGTAGAATTTGCATTGAAAGCAAAACCAGTACGTCGGTATATTCCTAAACATGGAATTCAGTACAAAGTTTGGTGGTTTGTAACATCGTCGTCATTTGAGTATACGATATTTATATTAATAATGATAAATACTGTCACTTTGGCAATGAAATTTTACAAACAACCGGAATGGTACACTGAACTGTTAGATGCATTAAACATGATTTTTACGGCAGTGTTCGCTCTGGAACTCGTATTCAAATTAGCAGCTTTTCGGTTTAAGGTAAGTGTAATATTATCAAATGCAAATTACCGTATATCACGTTTATTTATTAAGGTTGTTATTTTTATTATGATTGCATCCTTCTATACAGTTATTTTAAACACCAAAAACAAATTATATATATTATTTAATTGCTACTTACGTTAGTAATATAAGTCAAGTTTAACTTCCATAAATTTGTTTACATCGTAGTGGTTAAATTTTTATCAAATGCACCATTGGGTGGGAATAGTTCCTTTCAGAATTTTTGACTCAGATCTTTGTAGAGATTCAACATATGAAGTACTAACATTATCAAATAGTCTGATAATATTAGTCTATATTGTTTTTACTATGTTATTACATTAAACTACTTTATACTCTTGACGCAGTCGAAACCTACATTTAATGAGCCAATGAAGATTAGAACTTAAAGTTTTTGTTGTAGTTTTTTGGCTTCACTATCATTGCGCTAAATTAGGTGCCCATCTAGGTGAACGCCTATGTATGTCCGACTATCTGTTTTTCAATGGGAAATTTATTCCACCATAACACTATTACAATTTCGCTACCATAAGAGAGATTAAAGGCGATTAGAAGCTGACACATTATTTTTGTTTCGTCAAAAAATTGATCAATTGATATGGGTGCTCCTTAACTTTAAACAATCTGTAATTGAATTTCATTATTAAAGTTTAGTTTTCTATACAATTTCCGCAAGGTGTAGATGCATACAATTTCCATGATAATGCCCTATACCTTAAGCTGCATTTAAGTAGCGATTAGATATCGCTCAGCTTAGTTGTGGGAACGGTCACACTTCTCATGGAAATTGTATGCTCTTACGAATAAAAAAAGGAAACCTTACTTGCGTAATTTTCTTGGAAACCTGGTATTTGCTTAATAAACTTATTTTCTGTCCAACTTGAACTAAGTTCATATACCAGTTTGCTTTACAAATATAATTATTACTTTAATAATAATAATACGCAACCTTGCACAACGAATTTTCATTCCTCATAATGTTATGTAGTAACTATATTACACATGCCAAATGCATGGCTTATCTGTAGTTTCATATGACGAGCAAAGTGTGCTCGTGTGATATACATATAACATATATGTTGTTATATATGTTGTTGTATCCTAACCCACCTTTCAAGGTCAAGACATAAAGTCAATCACACAATGAGAATAAAAATTCGCTTTGAGAACAAAAATAAAATTGGGAATCAAATAAATTTAAATAAGTGACTTATCTTGAGAATTATACGTTTTGTTGATCATTATTATGTCAAAATTGGGGAAAACAGTAATCTCGGAATCTTACTTCATTTGTAATTTAATTTACTTTTTCAATTGTTCCATTATTTTTCCTAAAGCCATACTGATGGCATGGAATTAGGTTTTGTTTGACAAGGATGCATATCAGATTTAGAAGTAATGGTTTTTATAGAGCATAGAAAGACATAGCAGTATACTTATTGAAGTTTATAATAAGAGAATGGAGGTATTTTTACTAGAATGTAGAATGTATATAGCAGAGTTCGGAATGTGGTGCACAAAATCGCACACTGCACTGTGCGAGTGCAAATTATTTTTAAAATATGCACACGCATATTTGTGGTGTTAAGAAAAAAATGCACGCACTCAAATTTGTTGTGCGGTTTCAAATTTCACATCGCACAAAGCGATAATTGTGCACACACATTTGTGCTGTGCCACTGATTTATAAAAATGTGCACAATCAGATGTGCTGGAAAATTTTATGCTCACACCGCACTGTGCGAAACAAAATTCTCGTCGCACACGAGTGTGCTGTTCTAATATTTTTTTTTTAAACTGTACGAGCTAAGGGATGTGGAATCTTCAAAAGATACTGGTAGCCCGTATTACCAGCATGCATGATTTGCAACCAAGACTTACTCTTTTGCTTGATATTTGCGCCTATGTACTAAACCTAATCCTAACACTGTGCCTCTTCTAACCATAAATCCCTCCGGAACCACATTTAAGCATTACTTCGGAGGGTGGTAATTCAGCGATTGTCATATCTTACTGTTCTCCTAGTTCCCTCTGCTGCTCTCTGTCCTTCTATGATTACTTTCGGAAATATACACACCAGATTCCAGATTTCGGATGATCTCAACATCAGTTGGGTGATGTTATCAGGTGTGACCTGCTCTCTGGTTGCTCTTGCTAAGGAGCTGCGATGGCTCTCATATCTCAGGCAATCAAAGAACACATGCTCCATCGTTTCTTTTGTATTTGGACATACTGGGCATGTGTAATGTATAAATGGATGTATGGGCAATATTCAATCAATGTAATGGATGGATCACCATGTAATGTGTTAACCCGTTCAGATGTAGACAGGATCGTCAGGTAAATGAGACGTAATACTTGTCTTGTGAGTGCGTGTAATTATCCCTGCCTGATACGAGCATGCATCCTAAACCTACTGATGCAATCAAGAACAAGTTATCAAGCGGCTTGTTACCGCTGGTACTTAGGCCAGTGTTACTTGGCCAGAAGGAGTGAGAATAAATTCAACAACGCATATATTTCTGCAGTCATAAGTATATTCTGGATTTTATTGAACAATAGTTTGGGTATTTATACATTTTTCTAGATTATAGCGATCTCATGACTCCGCCTCTTTATTCCAGACAAAACCTGGAAAAGTATAACCGCAGCCAATCAAAGTGATTGCTGGCCTTGCAGAATGCATTGCATAGCGACTACACTGTTTGCTCATTTAGGTCAAACGTCAAAGTTATTATTAAAGTGCATTGACAATATTGCTTGCACATGTCTTTTGCAATATAGGAAATATTACTATTGAAAATATTGTAACATGTGTTCAGCAATTGGAACAGCGTGTGGCAATACTTTCGTTGATAATACGAAACTCTTTTGTTTATGTCGCTTTGCTTATGCTTCTTGTACGGTATGCATGAAGTGCAACTAATTCATAAATCTGCTTATTATTATTATTTATGAGTAATGTTAAGTGGCTAAGAAGTAAGTGAGGTAGGTCCACTACACATGTGTCGTCTTCGTCATGTTTGATTTTAAAAAGATATGGTCTGAAGCAGCCAGTTAACATCTGGGTTAGGTAGTAGTTCTCCTGCCCATGCTTTCCGTTGCTCCAATCACTTGTCTTTGGAATGAGCCTATGTGTCCATCCTCCCTTTGTGGATATATCCCAACTCTGTTGCCACTTATTCAATGCTTCTTCATTGAACTGATTGAAGTTTGTAACCCTAGTTCTTTTTGCTGCATGCTTTTCCTTTTAAATTTCTGCTTCCTGCTGTAGTGGCTGCATTCCGGCAATAACCATGGCCGCGTCAGTAGATACTGTACGGAATGCGGAACGCACTCTGAGTGCGCATCTTCTGTATGCTGCATCTACGCCTAGTCTGTACGTCTTTTTATTCATTGCATCTGCCCATATGGGAGCCGCATATACAAGGTGAGATGAAAAAACTGCAACCAACTTCAGACTGCTGTCATTTCTAAACCGCTCGTCCCACAGCTGTCAGATTTATTCTAGTGACAGCTCATTATATTGTTTACAAGCGCACAAAAGCATTTTGATGGGAATTTTTCAGAAAAAAAGTTATTTGTGATGGAATTCAAGCGTGATAGTGTGATTGCTTTGCATTTGGCTGGAAAACCACAAGTGGCTATCGTTAGAGCCCTCCAGCATTTAGAAGTGAATAAATGTTTTGTGTCTCGTACCATCGCTCGTTACCATGATACTGGTAGCGTAGCCCGACGTCAAGGAAGTGGACGAAAAAAAACAGCAACATCGGCAGAAATGGTTCGAAAAGTGAAAAAGCGAATTGAACGAAATCCGCGTCGCAGTGGACGAAAAATGGCTCGTGAGCTGAACATATCGCAATATGCCATTCGGCAAATATTGAAAAATGAGCTTGGACTAAAGCCATTCAAGTTCCAAAAAGTGCAAGATCTTACTGATGCGCAAAAAAAAGTTAGACTCGAAAAAGCTAAAGAGTTGTTTCGCTTGGCCGAAAGTGGTGAACTGCCGAATTTGGTTTTCTCCGATGAGAAACCATTCGTTATCCAGCAGTTTGTAAACAAACAAAATGATCGTGTTTACTTGCCAGAGAGGTCAGCTGAAAATTTGCAACTTCGGTTGGCCATCACAACTCAAAAGCCGGCCATGGTGATGGTGTGGGCCGCCATAACAGCCGATGGTCGCTCGCCGCTCGTATTCATCGACCGTGGTGTCAAATTAAATGCGCAAATCTATCGCGAAAATATTTTGGAGGGAGTTCTGAAGCCCTGGGCACGCAAACATTTCGGCCGCAGACCTTGGACATTCCAACAGGACTCAGCACCATCGCACTCAGCACGCGCCATCCAAGAATGGTTAAGAAATGAGGTTCCTCGCTTCATTTCCACCGCACAATGGCCACCAAAATCTCCGGATGCCAATCCGTTGGACTATTGTGCCTGGGGTATTTTGGAAAGCAAGGTTGGAACTAAAAAATACCAAAGTGTCGATCATCTCAAGCAAGCGCTTCGCCGAGAATGGGACAAAATACCGCAGAGCCACTTTCGGGGTGATGTTTCATTGGCCGTTTGAAGGCCATAGTTCGTGCCAAAGGTGGCCAATTCGAACAAATCTAAACCGATTCTCAAATTTGATGTCATTTCCGACATTTTTTGCTTTCATTCAATAAAATTTAAAAAAAATGAAAAAATTATGGCGTTTTACTTTGTTGCAGTTTTTTCATCTCACCTTGTATAGCAATAGACTTAACTACATTTGTCAGTAACTGCTTCTTTTGTTGTCTGGGTCGACCTATATTGGGCATTATTCGCGATAGTGCAGACGTTGTTTTCGCACATTTTGGTGCAACATATTGTAGATGCTCTTTAAAGGTGAATCTATTGTCAATCATTACTCCAAGATACTTGATTGCTTGTTTTGATGTGACTCGCTAAATGTTGGCATTTATTGTAATGTACTCGATCTTTTTCCTGCTGCT